CAACTATTGGAGGAGCTGCTGGCTATTTTGGGGTGGCAGGTGATGAGTGCATATAGTATTACTAAAATAAGTATACAGAGCCAGGTAGTTCATACCTGTAATCCAGTATTCTGGAGGCTGAGGCACAAGGATCATGAGTCAAGACCAGCTGGAGCTACACAGGAAGACCCTGTCTCAAAAGCCAAAATAAGGCTGGGCGTCAGTGGCTCACACCTGTAATCCTAGCTACTCAGGAGGCAAAGATCAGGGGGACTGCAGTTCAAAGCCAGCTCAGGCGAATAGTTTACATGACCCTATCTTGAAAAAATCCATCACAAAAAAGGGGCTGGTGAAGTGGCTCGAGGTGTAGGACCTGAGTTCAAGCCTCAGTACCACAAAATAAATAAATAAATAAATAAATACCAAAATAAATAAATAGACAGACATAGTCACAAACATAGCAACGAGGAAATAAAAAGGGGCCACACATGGACAGATAGTGAGGATACATCCTGAACAAGGGTTTTGACTATCCAGCTCTGTGCTCCTGAGATCCTAAGACCTAAATCTAAGAAGAAAACCAGTCATAATGACCCCTAGAACACAACTGAGCAGTCATGAGAATGTCCTACTCAGACCCCATGGGACACCCCTCTCAGCTGCACTTGAGAGGAAAGCCAAGGCTGAAACCTAAGGATGCCAAGATCCAAGAGGTTAGAAAAATGACAGGATAAACCCAAATGGAGCAGAAAAAACAAAACCACACCCATGAGATGTTACAGAGATAAGAAGAAGGAATTTAAAGAAAGAGCCTCTGCTGGTGCCACAGTGGGACACTCAAACTGTCACTACCTCTCACCAGTCACAAGGGGTGCCCAAGAGCTATGGCCTTTACCTCCTGTGGCAGTCACACACAGGGTGCACAGTGGCAGAGCCCTGAGGGCGCTCCACCTTGCCTTCATTTGAGCCGTTCTCACCCATACCTGCCCCTCTCCTCCCCTCTCCAGCCTGAGGTCCCAGTTCTAGACAGACCATTCAATGGGGACACCCAAGGCTGCCTACCTCAACCAAGATGGGCAGGGGACAAGAGGGGGTCAGAGGTTCTCTGCTGCAGATCCTGGAGGCAAGTGGAGAGGAAAACCTGGCCCTGCTCTAATGAAAGCCAGAGCCCCTAGACTGAGCTAGCATTAAACCTTCGTACACTGGGGCCACCACATTTCTTTCCGTTTTTGCAGTACTGGGGACTGAACTCAGTCAGGGCTTTGCACTTGCTAGAGAAGTGCTCTACCACTTAAGCCATGCCTCCAGACCTTTCACTTTTAATTAGTTTTTCAGACAGGGTCTCAGGCTTTTGTCCAGGTGGCCTTATACCACGATCCTACTACCTCCAATGCCAGAGTAGCTGAGATTTCAGGCATGCACCATCACACTCAGCTTATTTGTTGAGGTGGGATCTAACTTTTGCAGGGGCCAGCCTTGAACCACCATCCTCCTGTCTCTGACTTCCAAGCATCTGGGATTATGGTGAACCACCATACCCAGTTCATCCACACATTTCTAAGAAGTCAGAAACTCAATTCACATAATACACAGATGCTTAAAGGTTATACTCTTTAAAAGCCAGACTTTTTGTTTGCTTTGTTTCTTTCTACTAAAGTTTCCAAGAACAACACAAATGGTATGACAGTGTCTAAGTGGGAGAGGGTAAGACCAGTGGTCTGAAAAGGCACATAAGAACCTTGAACTCATCATGATTGTCCAGAGCATCCAGGGGTCATTTACAGAATCTGAGTATGACATTAAACAAATGGGTTTGCAAGCACTCAATCAGGTTCTAACTATCGTCTCTACTCTGGGCTGAAATGTGAAATCACCCAGGGTTGACCACTTCCACATTCTGAAGCCTGCATTTTTTTACTGCAAAGCTGCCCCCTTCAGAACCAGAGGAGTCATGGGCAGCCTTATCATGCCTTTCTGAACACCTTAGCCTTGCTGGGTCCAGGACATTTACTGTAATGAGAGGGAGCCACAGCAAGTTTGTACTAGAGGGCAGAGGCTGGAGGTGCTTTATTAGCAAGAGCCATCCACAAGGTCCTAGATCATAGATTCCTGGTCAGGGGCCACATGTTCCACTCACTGACAATCCCCTGCACAGACTGCACCTAGAGTCATTTCCAAGGTAGCATTCTTGCTGGTCAGAAGGCAGAACCCCAAACCCCTTAAGGACTCCACCTTTCCTTCTCTAAACTCTTCAGGGGCAGCTGCACCCTTTCTCATCAAAGCCCCAGTAGAGTCTCCACAGGTAAGCCCTGAGACATAGCAGACCCTGTTCTCCGTCCAGGCTTATAAGCTGGACAAGGGGCTGGACCTGAGCAGGGGAGGTGCATCCAGCTCCCCCTCAGTCTCGTGTATTTGAAGGAAGCGTCCACTGGGACATCCTCCTGTTTGGGAAGTCATCAGCACATCCACCAGGAAACCTCTAAGTGTGGGGATGCCCACATCCCAAGTGTGGGGGCACCCACATCCCCCTAACTGTGGAGATGCCCATGTTCCCCTAAGTATAGACATCCATTTCCCCAAGTGCAGACACCCATGTCCCCCTAAGTGCGGAGACACCCACATTGTGTTTCCTTCTGTTTATACACAAGAGCACCAGGCAAAGTCACACAGTACCTCTTTGGAACCATGAGGTCATGAGCTGGCCTGTTCTCAAACTTGTGGGGATTAAGCTTCCTCCTAAATTCATATTTCCATCTTTCTCACTGCTTTTCTCTGGGTCTTTTCCTCTTTTGTTATGATTTAATTAATTAATTAATTAGGTTAGCTATTTTAAATGCAGATACCAACTCTAAACTGTGATAAAGACTGAAAACCCAGGACAGTACCTGTGTGTCCCACACTGAACCCTAAATAGAGCAGAAGCTCTTATCTACTGGGCCTGGCTGGGCCCCCCAGACAGATACACCACCAGTCACTATCAGAATGGATGGCCACCCATGTCCCTGTGACCATAGCAATGCAGACTCATAATCCTAGGGCAAATACCGTGAAAATTCACCTTATTGCTATTTCACAGATTTATTTCAACTGAGCACAGTTCAAATTTCTAGAGTGGGGTGAGGCTTTCTCCTCAGACTCCTATAGGCCATCTTTCTCAGTCACTCCTGGAGGCCCGGTGTTTGCTTACCTAGCACAAAGGCTGCCAGTTCTCAGAAGGGTGGTCCTTGTTCTCTGAACCTCCATTCCCTCTCCACTCCCCATAAATTCTGAGACTTGCTGAGCCAACTTGTCCTCCCCTCCGCTTACCCTAAATGATAAAGGCTCCTTCAGGCCAACCCACACTTCCTTCCATCCAACAAGCTGACTACTGCTGCAGTACAGACCTCTGCCACTAGTTCTGTGAAGTGACAGCTGGGCCAGCAATTCTCTCAAAGGGTTCTGCCCAGGCCTGAAGGACAGTCCTCAGGGACTTCCTACATCGCCCTACACCTTTTTTTCCTGGTCCCCAGAGCCATGAAGAAGGAGAAAGTGACTTCAGCATCCTCTTAGTATCTAGCCCAAGATGGGAACAATGCTGTGCAAGTGGGGACCTGCAACCTGGGGCAATCTTAAATATGCCAGGACAGGGAGGTTACAACCTTAAAGGCTGCTGCTATGGTCATTAGAGCTCAGGGACACTCTGAAATACTCAGAGCCATCTTAAACAGAAGGAAGACACCTGAGTCCTCACCCAGACACAAGAAAAGCAATGTTCCATGGTGGGTCTGGCTGTTCTTGCAGGAAAGTCCTGGAGAAACTGTGAACTGTGAGCCCCAGGGGGTCTGGAAGGTGCTGCCAGAACAAAAGAGAGGCTGGATATTCCACAGAAGGAAACTGAATAAATCGGAAACATTCTAGTCTAAGAAAAGAGCAAAAGGAATGAGAGACCAAGGCACTGTGGCAGAAACCAGCATGTGGAGGTGACTGGGGCTATAACTGAGAAGCAGGGCTGTGTGACAAGAAGGTTCATCGGGCCTGCACACAGGCATACAACCCCCCAAACTTCACATGCACCAAGACTGATGCAGAGGTTTCTGGTGATTGAGAGGCAGAGCTGAGTCAACATGGATGAGATGTTCTCTTGTGAGTTAATTCTGCTCAGGCAGAAACTAAGCCAGAACCAACCTCAGAGCAGGACCCTGACCCACAGGAGCCTGGGGACAAGAGAGTGAGTATGAATGAAGGTTCTCACAGCTCATCTTATTATGTCCTTTGTCTACATTACAACCATGGGTCTTATTACCAGGAATTCCCTATAAATGTGTCTTTATTGATTCTCTCTTACAGGTCTGCCAGGGTTCTGCACATTAGCCTGTGTCTACTTTCCTGTTACAGTGAACAACCTGAAGCCTCTCTGCACATCTTCTACTTGGAGGTGAAATTCTGTCACCTCCAAGTGCACAAGCATTTTCACAGTACTTAAAATGTACACAGTCAACATGATACCAATTCACTTTCTGAAATTCTGAGTATCTACATTTTTAAAGCACTTTGTTTTTTACCTCGTTAATTTGTGTTGGATTATAAAAGTAAATGTTTTCAATTTAATTTGCTTGGTTTGAATCTCTGCAGAAGTCTGCCTGCCACCTGTCTGTCCACGTCTGCGTCTCCACTCCCAACCTCTACCATGAATCCATTCCTACCTGTGTTTGTGTTTTGTTATCAACTGTCACGAGCTATTTCCATTTCCGGTTATTAACATCTTAAGTATCACATTTTTCTAGTTTGTGCTAGTTTACCTTCATTTTTTTTTTAACCTTCATTTTATTTGTACTGTTTTCTGTGGTACAGTTTTATGTTTTTAAGTAATCTTACTCACTTTAATTAACTCAATAACTGATATAATAATTAAGCAACAACAACCTCTCAAACTTAACTTCTAAGCTGTATATGACATAATAAAAAAGTGATTTATAAGAACCACACTGACATGTACATCGACCAACATATACACAGCCATTACCAACAAAACAGTTACTTACAGAATCCAGAAAGCAAAGGTAAGACCCTGAGCTCTGTGCGATTGCTTGATTTTTAGAATATCCAACTGTTGGGGAAAAAAAAAAAAAGAGAGAGAGAATGAAATCTCTTTTATAATACAATTTTCAACAGCAAAAAACTTATGTTCTTTACCCTCCAAGAGAATACCAAAATATCAGCATAGCTTTTGAAGGAATGTGAGAAAAGTCACATGAGGTGACTGCTGTCAGGTACAAGAACAGGACCCACCCAGCACCTGTTACAAAATTCAAATAAAATGACCCTGGGAGGAATTGGTAAAGTCTGTAGATGCAATCAGGGCCTAGCTATGCAGGGAGCATGGGACCTGCATGGGTATTTACTGGGTAAGCTCCTGACACAAATAGTTCGTGGGCAGCTATCCCGGCATCATGTCTATAGCGAGGTGAGGTCACTGCCAGTGTCTGCTACACCTGAGTGTCCACACTTAGCCCTGGTCATCACCTGAGCATTTTTGCACACCCAGTCCCTTGTCACCTGAGCACGTGTGCACACACCTCTGACTGCAGTATTGCTCAGTACAGGCCAAGCAGAACTTCATCTGCTCATCAGTAGCCACTGAGAGCAGCACTTATCCTAAGAACCCAGAGCTGGAAAATGAGATATTCCACAGTGAGTATGAACAGCCTAGGACTGCACACAGCAACATGGGTGACTCTCACATCAGTGCTCAGTGAAGAGCACCAGACCCAAAGGACCAGAAACTCTGAAGACCCAGCAGGGATCCCAGAGCAGCAGGATTCTGGGCGTAGGTCTAGGGGGCTGCAGGGCTAGTGGGGCTTTTCCATCAGGATGCTGGGTGCATGGTATGTCTAGTTCATGAATGTTAACCCAGATGTAAGATTTTAAGTGTACTTTTCTGATGGATAGCCTATTTTAATAAACGTGTTTAAGAAATCCTGTCTTCAAAATATTATAGCTGAGCTAGAAAGAGTTAAACACTGGCCTATGGTTACTGCCAAAGGAAAAAAGCACTAGAGGCTTAGAATACAAAAATCACTGCAAAGGGAGCCTCAGGGGCCTGTGCTGGAATTTAAGTCAATGGAAAATGTAAGTGCACAGGCCAGACCACTGGGGAGTGCTGGGTCACTGAGGCAGCCGTGTGTTTGGGAAGGCAAGCACAACCTGCTTCTGCAACGTCATTCTGTCAGCAGGTCAGTTGCAGAGGCTTCTGAGTGAGGAACATTCTGCAGATTAACACACCCAAGTCAGCCTGGGTGCCCAAGGCAGCATTCTCGGAGGGGCATTTAGCCCAGAACAAGGCACTGATGGGGCTGTGAGGGTGAAAATCTTATTCCTAGAAAAGAGGTTGTCAACACCTGAATCGTGTTAACCAGATGGTCACAGATTTGATGCCACCGAGAAAAGTCATGCAAAGCAAAACAGATGTGTGCAGGGTTGAGACAATAAATCTCTCTGGCATTTGAAGTTAAGACAAGCTTTAGAAGGTTGTGGGTCCCAAGGGAACACCACAATTGTATGTTTCAGCCAACCATGGCACTCCCCCATTTTATGCCAGTAGGAGGGTGGGAAGAGACCCCCATGTGTAATCTGCTCCTGGTTGGTACAAACTCAGCACAGTGGGGGACTACACCACCACCAAGACCCCCACTCATGTTCTCCAAGGATCCAACCCAGAGCATCACCCTTCTGCAGGGGGTTCAATTCCTAGCATTAACCCCTAGAACTTAGTTAACCCAAACCCAAATATCAAAGAATTGCAAGTAGAAACATGAGCAGAGAAGGAAGCAGCCAGGGGCAGCAAAGCGCCTAGCTCCCACCCTGGAGTGAATTCACTGCTATCACAAAGCAGCTGTAGTTAAATCCCGGCCATCCTTGCAGAGTAAGGTGGGCACAGAGAACCCAACCACAGAGAAAAACAGAAAACAGAAAGAAACTTTCCACAATCACACTGAAATGAGCAGGAGTTCTGTTCCAAAAGTTGCTTATCAGAGAAGGTTTTAAGAGAGAATTTGTGTAACGAAGGCAGACATATCTCACTGAGGAAGCTAGAAGTTTCTCACAATGAATCTTGTATTTGGCAAAGACAAGGAATTTGCATTAATATTATTGCCTTGAAGAAAGTCAAATGTTTGAGCGGGGGCTCCATGTTTGGGGAGGTCAGTCCCATTGTTGAGGGGAGCCAGTTGCCATGGTCACAGCAGGAAAAACTCAGTTCTGTGGAGATGTTCACATTCCTTACTCCTGGAGAGGACTGGCGGGCTATGCTGCATTTTGACTTCAGTCAGGGGCCACTTTATGAAGATGTGTGTTGCTCTGTTATGATACAAAGTCATAACCCATTTTAAATAATGCAGCACACCTGGAAACAGACACTGGCTCTGTGCTCTATGGTGGCTAATGTAACCTGTCCTGCTTAGGAGAATGTATCACAGAAAACATGTCCAGACAGACCCCACTGAATCACTGTGTGACACATGCCTCCCATGACTGCCGTCCTTCTTCTCATGGACAGCAGGGAAGCTTGGTTTCACTGCACTCCACCTTAGTTCTTCAGTTTCACAATTAGTTGCCTTTGTTACTGACAGAACTGTAGGGTACCTCCAGACATACTGTGGTTCAGTGACAGTAAGTGTTTCATGAAAGAGAAAACTTGTCTTTTTTTTTTTTTTAAATGGAGATGAGGAGCGTCACTCAGTCACCAAAATGCCTTTTCCTTCAGCTATAGAAGATGCAAAAGCTCTCTTAAATAAAGAATATTCGCTGGACGCCAGTGGCTCATGCTTGTAATCCTAGCAATTCAGGAGGCGGAGATCAGGAGGATCATGGTTCGAAGCCAGTCCTGGGCAAATAGTTCCTGAGACTCTACCTCAAAAAAACCCAACACAAAAAAGGACTGGTGGTTTGACTCAAATGGTAGGGTAAGTGCCTAGCAAGCATGAGGCCCTGAGTTCTAATCCCAGTGCCACAAAAAAAGAATACTGAAGGATGTTTAGTTTCAAAAACCAATTTGTTAAACACATTTCAAAATAAGTTGAAATAGATGTTCTATAGTAATTGATGACAGAAGGAATGCTGCCCAGGCCTTGGTAGCACCCCCTGTACCATGCCCTTGCTGGCTTTACCCTGTAACACTCCAGAATGGGATCTGCTGGAATATGAGGGAACTGAGGCAGAGAGTGGCAGCCCAGCTCAGGGCCCTGGATCCCTATCCAAGCCCCAGGCTTTTGCTGGGCCCTCTAACCTCCAGTTGCTGCCAAGGCCCCTGTGACACACTGTATGGGAGGTCATTGTCCAAGAAAAGGTCACTCAATGTGACTTTTAAAATAATAGATGCAGAGCCACCACACTCACTGACCTGGTTCTTCATTTCTGTCACATATACTTAATCAGTATTATATCAAAATATATTAGCCTCTTCCTAAATGAAACTTCTATTAAGTTAATATCAAAGGTTCTTTGTGACACATTTAATCTCAGCGTTTTGCTTGTAAAATTTTTCTGCATTCCTGAAAAGACAGTGTACTAGACATGAAGTATTCTTACTAACCTAAGCAGTAATTTGTATTGTTCTATTTAATTCTTAAAGCTTCTTCTACACATGGTCTTTTAACTGAGCTCATTCTTAGATCATGACTAGGCTATAAACATTCACTTGAACTGTGGCTCCCGTCCTTTTAAAATAATTTGGGTAAGAGAAAGATAAGCTTATATGTTTATCATATTTGAGTCCCAAATAGTCCCCAAATGCTACTGAGAGTTTGTTTTAGACTCACTTAATATTTTTCTATGCAAAGTAAAGGTAGTTTTGCTTTTGCTTTCCTTCCCATATGGAAAAAGTTGAACATTGGAGTTGTTTAAAGATTTTATCATGCACCTCAATGCTATGCCATGGTCAGCGAGCCATATTTTATAATTCACAGAGATTTTTCCAGAGTAACTGGAAAAATGTCGAGTACAGCTATTCCATGGTCATGATCAGTGTCTGTGATATGTAATGTGATCGGATTTATGGAATTACCAATTTCATAAGATTTCTAAACAACCTTGGAAATCGATCACTCATTAAATGAGTCTCTCACTCTGAATGAATACGTGCTCAAAATGTGACCAGCTTAGTTTAAGACACAAATCAGCAACCTGATGGTTTATAGTTAAAGGCTTAAGTTTTGTTGTTCCAATAGTAAGAATAGTCTTATATGGCTCAGTGAAAAATCCTATGTATTTGTTATCATGTCTCATGATTGCTTTGTTAAAAGCAGAAATGGTCATGTGATGTTCTAAATGTAAGTTGCTGTTTCTAGATGTTTTAAACCACATCTGTGACTAGGAGCATGGCCCAAGTGGTAGAGTACCTGCCTAGCAAGTATGAGTACTGAAAAAAAAAAAAAAAATCACATCTGTGCCACCCAGACTTGTTGTTGAACTTTTACTGAGTTCTTGAATTGGGATGAAGGGCTTGTACTATGCACTTTTACTAATGAATAAATAGAAAGTGTTAGCAAAAAAAGAAAAAAAAGATGCCTTCTTCTTTCCAAAGAGTACTTTTAGAAATTCTTTTTAAATAATAATCACTTACTGAATTATGTGCCAAGTGATTCCTACTACAGATGTCAGAAATTACTTATTTTAAATTTTTCTTAAATGTTGCACATGCTTTTCTGCCTCCTCAGCCAGCTTCCACCATTCCCCAGAGTGTACTTGAAGACCAGGTTCTGCTGAGTCCTGGCAGCCCAGACTCATTGAGACTCTCTCCACCAATACCCACTACTTGACCTGGAGCCACAAACCCAAGATGAATTAAATGCTGGAAGGAAGTCCCAAAGGCCAAGGGCATCCAGCCTGGGTTGGAGAATGTGCACTTTAAACTACTTCATGAAGCAGCAAACCATGTGTATTAGGAGCTCATGCTCAGAAATATCATGCTGCATGAGGGTAGAGCCAGGCCCTAGAGGGCACTGGGGCCGGGTTCCTGTGCTACCTAGACAAGTGTGGACCTCAGGAAAAAACAACACCCCTGCCCCCTCAGACTGAGATGTGGACAGGTGAGCTCACAGGGTGATGCAC